CAGTGTAATACTAATAAGTATACTACTCAGGTGAGAATCTATCTATCTATTTATCTGTCTATCTATCTAATCTTCTGCATGTGTTGGAAAACAGGAAAAAAAGTGGCCATTACCTTGTAAGGAATGTTGCATCTTTCTCCTACCCTGCAGGTTTTGTTCAGCCCATGTTGCTTGATGATCTCTGTATGGCTAAGGAAACCTCCTGCAACCTTCTTGCCAGCTGCACTAACAACTTCAGACTGTAAAATGCTAAAGTAGCGAGGAAAAAAATGTCTAAGGAAGTAAGGAGGGGAAAAAAATCTCTAAGGAAACTTGTTGTATAGTGTGTAAGAAATCTTTACATACTGTAACTCTTTTTACTTCTTAATAAGTTTGTATGAGGTTTGTAGTTAGTTCCACTGGGTTATTCCACCCCTGCATTTGTGTAAAAGGAAGAAGAAGGATTTTAGCAAAATTAAGAAAGTTGTAGTGTGGGTGGACCCCAGTACACTCAATGTAAGAGCAATCTCCTCTTCTGAGGTACGATACTGAGTACAAAATTATGCTCAGTTTCATTCTAATGTCCCTGGGTATGCTCTTAGTTCCTTGTCACTGAATAATTTTTTTTTTAGGAACAGAAATCAAATTGATATATCTGTATATGTCTGAGTGGGTCAAAGCTTCAAGTTTTTACCATATATCTCTTGAATTTCAGTTAATTCCAGACCAATTACTTCTTCTACTATTGGAATACTTGTATCTAGTGATCATCTTTATGTGGAGTTGATCTAGGCTCAGTTTTACAGGAATAAAAAAATTGTTGTCCTGAACTTGCAAACCTTTTGCACTTTTGACTTTTCTTGTCTTTGAACTAATGAACCCCCCCTACTTCTTAAGATGCAGTGATGCTGAATTATGGTGAAAGTTGATTATTTTTGAAGATATGCAGATGGTTAGCAATGAAATTCATATTTAGATATAGAAATTTAAAGATCAGGGTCTCTCCTCTCAAACCACATTGCAGTGAAATCTAAGGAACCAGAAGAATTCTACTCCTAGGAGTTATAGTCATTTCATCTAGCTATAAGTAGCTAAAGGATACCGATCTTGGTTTGCAGTCAAGACCTCCACTGCCAATAATGGAGAAAGACAAATCCCTCTATGTAGGTGATGATTAAAGACAGAAGAGGTGAATCATACCCCATGTGGCAGAAGCCTGTTATGGTCATACAGAAGAAGAAAACCCTAATAAGCATAGTCTTTCGATGGACTTTTAGCAACACACATCAGTGAGAACCATCACCTTTATTTCCCATTTGATAACTTTTAATCTCTTTTCCTCATGGTCAGATACTACTGACTTTGTTGGTGTGTTAGTTCTGTATGGGTTCTGCTCCTGGGGTAAGTCGTGCATGCCTGCATGCCTAGCTCCCAGTGTATTTGGAGCAGAGTGAGTTGTTATTATTCAATGACTCCTGTAAGCTGTAGGCTTTCTATTACGGGATATTGCTATCCTCTTTTTTTTTTTTGCTTCATTATAAGATGCTTTGTCACTGTTGTCATAGTCTTTGAAATAGATTTCACAGAGTCCTTAAATGTTAAGATGAGGCTTCAAATTATTTTCACGGGGAGACAAATGAAGTTTTAAATATTAATATTTTAAGTTTGTTCTGAGTTGCCAGTGCATTAGAAAGTTAGTGAGTTTTTGTCAGGGTTAGAATTGCCTCACCGGTAAATAAGTTGGACATATTTTGAAGAATACTTTTATTTAGAAAGGCTGTAGAATCTGTGATGCACTGGGAATTTCTTCCTAGCTCCGCTTCCCCTGTTAGTGATGTATAATGATGACCAAGAAGCTAAAAAGATGTGCTTATACAACTTCTTTTTTTCAAGTATATTGAGTTCAATTTGCAGAATGATCAGGAGGCAAATTATTTGTGGATTTTTTTCCTCTGAGTTCTTTGAGAATGTTTAGGGCTGAAAAAGATCCCATTGCAAGATCAGAGACAGTCAGGTTTAGCCAGGTAACAACATATGAAAAGAACTGTGAAAGTCTAATTCTGAGGTAAAATAAAGAAGTCTATATTTTACTTTTCAGCATCAGGGCAAGTGACTCACAAGAAAATAGTGATACGCCAGGAAGGAAAATTATTACATCAGGCAGCAGCATGTGTTTCCCAGATTAGGCTTCTTGAGCAAAATTAGATTAAGATTTTTTTTCATCTTTCTAATTAAACTGTTCTACCCTTTCATTGTCTTAGGTCATTTTTGATGAATGACTGAGAAGTGCCTTGACTGCTGCTTCCCAAATATAAGTAAATGAGATGTTTTTCAGTGGAAGAGATTATATTTTGCTGAATTTAAAGCAGCTAAAACAGAAATAGCCACTACATATATTGAAAGTTAAACTGTGCACCTGCATATGTTGGATTAGATAGTTTTGAATCTTTATTGAAATTGTTTTTTTAAAAATTGCCCTTTGTTTTCTCGAGTTCTTATGTTTAAGATTTAAGATAACCACAAACTACAAGCGACTTCTTAGATTTCTGTACAAAAAGGGACAGAACAAATAAGAATTTTGTAGTCTAATATGTAACATGCAGAATCCCTGGTCAACTGTAACTAATTAGCCATATGTTGTTGTGTTGTGTGTTGTTTCAGAACATTCCCACTCACTTAGGAAGTAATCTTTTTTCACTGAGTTTACCAGGTAGTACATAATGATGCTGTCTGGAGCGTGAGCTGCCTTTTGCATAGAGGGTATTCACTCCTGATACAGAACAATAATATGAGTTTGACGTGATGGGGAAGGTGTAATTATGCAGTGCAGACATGCTAGAGCTGACTTTGTTGATCAAAACCAGAGAACTTTCCCAGAGCTGCAGTCCCTATCAGAGTTAGATTTTATACAGTTTAGAATAAATCCTATCCACGAAGCAAGTTTAGCGAAGCGTATGTGAATGTCACTTAATAATTCATTCCATTTACCCTCAAAAGACTGATTACTGACAGCACTAACAATGCTGGGCATTAAATATTTGCACATGTTCTTGAGCAAGTGGTAACTACATCTCTCTAATACTGTGTTCCAAGTTCATGCCTTTTGTTTATAGTAATCTTTATTATAATGCAAATATACCTTTATCATGTTGCCTTATGTATTGCCTTCTAAACTTTGTCCTAGTGTAACATACATTGCAGTTCTAGCAATATTCTTAAAAGCTTACTCTACTCACATGTGGAATTTATCATCAAATTTGATCAAAGAAGATATTCACTTGAATTTGAGTGACTTCTTATTAATTTAATGAATAATGAATAATTCAATAAGACAGTTTACCAACTGAATTTAGAAGGGGTCGATACAAGCCTTCAGTTATTATATGTATAATAAACAAAGAGACAGACTCCATTTATAGGTAGTGTCAACAATTGTGTGAAGAAATTGTGTCAACAATTTCCTCAGAGATCTATTAATAGCCTTTTCTATTTAAATTATTAAATTCCATGTCAGATGAACATTGGTTCATTTCTTCTGTTACATTTGCACATTGCTTAATTCTGAGCAATAGGCTCAGTTTTTCATATCTTACTAATAATAGCTATTTCTGTGTAAATTTTGGATTTGCATTCCTAGGGTTGTCAATGTATGATCCGTAAGTACATGGAGCATGGGAACCTCCAGACACTCTCTATGTAAATAGGTTTTTCATAAGCAGTTGCACTCATTGATTTTGGGGTTTTTTTTGGTATGGATTTTTGTTCTTTTTCCTACATGCACTGTGGGTGATCCCAAATGCTGTTCTGTTTTCTGGCTCTATACAATTCACTTATTGGGCCAGTTAATGCACAGCTGCACCCAATGCTGCTTTGCTGTTTGCTAATGTGGGTCATCTGATTTCAGTGGAAAAAAGGTGCATGACAGAATTTTATCTGTTAGTCTGCTTCCATAACCCACCCCAGCCACAAACTTTAAATCAATTCTTTGGGAACCTATTAGGGTATAGAGGTGAGATAGAAAACTTTTTTAAGCTTTGACTAATAAAAGAGTATAAAATGCCCTATCACACAGTGTTTCATGTGGAGTATCTTGGTGATTTAATTAAAAATAATTGTAATTAATTTTATCACAATTTCATTGAATATTTTGAGAAGTTAGATATTGAAAGAAAGAAAGAATGAAGTTGAAAATGTGTAAACTTCAATTATGAAATGATTGAAATGAAATAAGCCAATGACTCCAAATATTTGTTCTGTTTTCCAGTAAGAGGGCTTGCTATTTGTAGTTCACAGGAAAGTGAACCTTTGAGTTGGGTGTAATTTATAAAATATATGATCCAATTTAGCCTAAAAATTGAGTTGGAAAAACTGAGCTAATATAAGAGTATATATAAAAAAATCAGCAAACCAATCTTAAATATTTTTATACCCACTTCATTACCTGGAAAAAAATCTTGCATTTCTGGCTCTGCTGTCTCCAGGGATGCAAAATTGCTTCATGCTGTATTTTTTCCCCTTCTCTAAAGAAAAGAAGGAATTTTTACTTTGAACTTAAAAGCTCTATTTTTGTTTTGAACAGTCTATTTGAGAACTGTATCAGTCCCCTAGAAGTCTGTATGTGTCTATTTTGTCTGTACGTGTTTATTTTGCTTTTATATGTGGTACAATACCATTAATACAATCAAAAAATGAAGTTTTATATCCAGCAATGATTTTTGACAACTTCTTTTACCTACTTTAACTAAATATAACTTTAATTAAGTTGCATTGCTATTTCTTTCTCGAGACTTTGAGTACATAAATTTTTTTACTCTTGTGCATGAATAAATTACTTGTAGTTTGTGGCCTGTTCAATAAAAATATAGAATATAAGTTATAAGTTAAGAAAGAAATAGCAAGAGTGGACCTGCCATTCTGAGAGATTGATCTGGAATTTCTTGGAGATTAATTTTAGGAAATAATTCTGGATTTCTTTATTCTTTCTTTCTTTCTTTCTTTTTTTTTCCCCTCTCTTTACTCAGATGGAAGATGTCATAGCCCGCATGCAAGATGAGAAAAATGGGATTCCTATTCGCACAGTGAAAAGTTTTCTTTCCAAGATCCCCAGTGTCTTTTCTGGTAAGAGTCAAAGTGAATTTCATAATATTTTAAAGATTTAACTCTACCTTATATAAGGGAATGCTCAAAGGGAAAACACTTTTAAATGTGCTGTAGGGAATTCACAGTCATCTGGTCTGGAGGAGACATCCCAGATCCTTTGAATAATTATAGAAATTTTTGATGTTTCTCTCAGATTGGTCTTACACAAAGATATTTTTGTCCTGTAAATTAAGTGAAGGGAATATTTAATTCACTACAAAAAGGCAATATTTCTTATTGCAGATCTGAATCTGTTTTTTAGCCAGTTTTCATAGCAAGTATGAGTTTAGTGTATTGACCAGTACGTGAAGGTAAGAAATGCCATAGTAGCAGCACAAAAGATACTTATTACAACAGTCATGATCTGCTTTTGCAGCTGGTTGCCTGTCCCTGAGAAACTAAGACTGAGATGTCTATGGTGATTTGCAAGACAACTGTAAACTTTATAACTAATCCAAGTCAGTATTGTCATAGGCCCAAAAATATGTCCATTTATTAATTAATTAGTATATGTTTATTCAGGTATTTACATTATTTTACATCAAATTATGCATTATATATGTGGATATATACTCAAATGAGTATATGTGTGTGTGTATATATATATATATATCCATATATGTCCTTTGAAATAGATTACATTGTTTAACCTAATTTTTCCATACTCTAGTAAAAGCTGCAATTTTTGTAATGCAAAAGGCAATACTTATATAGGAAGTATTTATAGAGATTTGTACTGTCCAGAACAGCAAGAAGGATTCTCTACTTTAATTTTCAACTTTTGGAATGATTTTGCTAGTGAGTAATTTGGTCACAAAGAAGGATAGAGTCTTAAGAGTGAACAAAATAGCTTCATGATTTTAGAAATTACTTGTGCTAAAACTAGCCTTTGAAGAATGGACCTTTATTTCCCATGAGTTAGTTCAGCATGGCATTATATTAAATAATCCACATTAATTTTTAACCTCTGCCTTACATTGTGGGCTATGGATTTCAAAAAAGACAGACCAAAATATCTTTTCTTTTTTTTACTGGTATAGACATCATACTTTTAAAGATTATGTTAGAATATATATACAGTAGTACATAGCAGTCACCAGTGCAACACCTTTTCTATTTATGTACTAACTTTATTAATTGCAGAGGGAAAGAAAAATCATAGGAGAGTTCATTTTTTTCCCTTTGTAGATTTTCTACCTCAAATACCAGGGCTGTAATTTTTGCTAGATGTGACTAGAAGCCCCATCAGAACAGTACAAATTTCATTTTAGTTAAATTGTTATGCTTTCCTGTCAGTTCTCTACACTGAATGGAATCTGAAATATTCAAACTTTTGTACTGAGTAGCAGATTTCATTTAGTGTCTGAGGAGTTTGTCTTTATGTAGCAAACAAAACTTTTTGGCTTGAACTCAAAACTGTTGATTGCTAGGAAACACAGGAATATTGTTTTGTAAGGATTGTGATGATAATAGTGCAAATATATATGATAAAAGCTTGTACTGTTAATACCCACAAAAGCATCCATATGAAAATGACCAAAATGAGCATCAAAAGGAGATGCTCTCCAGTTAATATATATATATATATATGTATTTATATGCTCATATATATATATGTGTGTGCGTATGTCTATGCATAAAAGCATGTCTTATATGCAGCCATCTGTTCAGGATTATGTTCCATAAAAACCAGAGCTTTGCAACTGTTTGGGGTTTTTTCGGTGGGGAGAAGCAAAATGGGTAGCTCTACCACAGTGAAATCATGTTCCTGCAAAAACTTAGAAAAGATCTGTAAGAGTCCTTTAAACAACTTGTGAAAACTAAGGTTGTCCATAAATTGTCCGTAGGAATAGGGTCTTATGGAATAGCATTTTGATTATGTTGCTATAGATTTATTTTTATTTTTTGTGTGCTTTTATTTCATAGTAGTTCTTCTTAAAACAGCAAGTGAGAACCTAGTTGAAAGAGCAGTCACTTTTTTAGTGCAAAATTACTGACCATATCTATTTAAGGATGACTGCATTAGCAAAATCAGCCTGGGGAATGGTATTCGAATTTAGCAGAATGCTGTGATTATAATAAACAAAATGATGTAATTATACTATCTAATTTACTGAGTCATTCCTTAAATGTTTTCACAAGTAAAATATCCACACAGAGAAACGTTTGCAATACAGATAATCCTCTATATGCTATGCACATTGTTGAGCTTCAGAAAAATATCATTCTAAGTTAAAGATTTTTTCACTTTATGAAATTTTGAAAATATGAGGAATCATTTTGCTTTATATTCCATATATGCATAGAGAGCAAATAAAAATTTGAAACTTTTAAGGCTCCAAGGAAAAATGGAGGCAGGAGAGTTTGCTCCTTTTATGTGAATATGCATTTAGAAGTACAAAAGAAGGGTTACTGTTGTCTCCATTCATTTAAAATGTTTTGGAGGAGTGAAGAAGATATTTTATACAGACATCTTGCTGGTCAGCAATAATAATTGCATGAAGATTCACATGATCATTCCTTATTAGCACTGATTAGAGTATTAGCAATAAAGAGAAGGCAATTTGCCTGGCCCATAGTTCACCATTAGACCTGGAAATGGATAAAAAAAGACTTGAAATGATGAATGTAGGGAGTATGCAATATGAATCACAGAGAATAGAATGAGCTCTAAAATATCATTTTTATTTTTACTAAGGAGAGATAGGAAGCAAATGCCAAAGTTTTGCTGTTCACTTTGAAGGAGAAAGAAGCATTCAGAGTTTACCAACAAAGCACTGCAATAGTTGAGGTTTTGTTTTGGCAGTCTTTGTGGGGGGCGGTGAGTTAGTCGGTATTAGTACTGGAAGTTTCATAAGCTAATCATAACATGAATATTTCATTAAAATGATATAGTGATACAGTGGTGTCTTATGGTCATTATGGAATATCAGTGTGATGCTTTATTAAAGTATGTAATACTTGGATATGCTTGATACTGAATAAAATCTGTGGAGAATGTGTCAGTTGAGTGGTGTGTAAGCTTGAGTGCGTAACACTAGCACTTTTATTGAAGGAGCAGGGAGAACTATGAGAAATGTAAGTTCAATTTAAGAATGCAAACAGAGACAGAATAAAGAGCATTCAAGAAAAACATGTTCCTACTAGTTATTACTGGCTGTTTCTGATGCATGGCTCAATAATTTTGGAAAGTAGTCACAGCTTGAACCAACAAAAATAGGAGAAGGAGATCAGTAGAAAGGTTTTTTTTTCACGTCGTCTTCTGAGTTAGAGAGAGAAAAATGAAAACATCAATTTACCTTTCCCTGGAAAATATAATCCATTAAAGTCTTTAATGTTTTCTCATTCCTGTATGTGAAGCTGATATTGTGTCTTTTTCATAAAGACATTATGTTTTCCCATTTTTTAGAAAGATTATTGTCATCATATCTAATTTTTATTAAATGTTTTTTCTAATCTCCGAAAATATTTATTTCTCTTTTACCTGGGAAATCATGAAGATATTGGAATATTCCACTCTGATTAGCAAATGAATTAATATGGTCATTATTTACCAGTTTTTGTCTGAGCACTAGTAGTAGTCTGCTTGGTAAAAAATAAATAATTTATGTGCTTAAACATAAAAAAAATGCTACCAAAAGTAGAACAGCAGTCTCAGTAGCCTAGTCAGATATAGTGAGAGACTCCAGAGCAAAGCAGTGTCATAGTAGCAGCTCATCTCACTTGCAATTCACAGGTGGGTGAGCCCAAGGGATGAGTCACAGGGGCTACCTGCGTTAGTATTGCTTGTTATATAGAGAGAGGCAGCAAAAAATGAAGATCAATACAGTGGGAATTGGATGACTCAGGGGACTAATAACAAGAAAGGGAGTTTCATATGTCATTAGTTTTGATCTTCGCCATATGAGTAATGAGTTGATAGCATCTGATGACTTCTCAGTGCTGCATGTGAAATTAGTTGATAAGTTTATCCACTTCAGTACTGGAGATCACCTATCTGAAACACAATATGAAAGAGAAAGCTCTACTACTTAGTTTGACAGAAAAAAGCCCCACAAAATGTGTAACACTTCAATAATCTGGTACCTTTTGAGCAAAGTAACATTGCATTAGAGGTAAATAAAAGGAGTTCTAAATTTCCATTTTTGATAGATTTTCCAGAATAAATTAACCATGTGGGAGAAGCTAGGATTCCCATCTCCCAAGTCTCAAATTTTATGGGCCTTCCTTCAGTGTCTCCCTTGTTGGGTCAATGACAGTTTCCTACTTTCTTGTTCTATCTATTCCTTCATCTCTCTTTTCTTGCATTCTCCTAAAGTATAATTTAATAGTAGAATTATTGCTGATTTCTTTATGCCAAATCAGCCTCTTATTATTTGCAAACAGAGCCTTCAGTGTTAAAACTGCAAGCTCACTGCCTTTATGAGGTTCCAGTCTTAGTAAAACACTTTGATGAAAATCTTGCTGTCAGTTCATGAGGGACAAAAGCTGGATAATTCATTCTCCTGTGCCCCTTCAGATGGGCAGATGTGAGCAGGGACTTGCTATCTTCACAGTTTCACTTTTCAAACCAGAATTTTGAGAACAAAAAGTTAATAATCCTCTATTCCCAAATGAGTAGCTGGTTTGAAGTTATAAAATGAGTCTCTCTTGTGTGTCATTTCCATTCATCACTTTGTCAAGAGTGAATGATCTGCATTCAAATGCTCATGGTCTTGTGGGAGTGGATATTTTCAAGAAGACTGGTTCTCTTATTTGTTGATATCATGTTCATGGTTTTTCGAGTCATCAGTAGAAGATACTGACTAAATGGACATACAGTCATTTCCAAGTAGTGAGATAATTAACTGATTAATGAGTGATGCTTTATATTCTTTACAGAAAGTCAAAGTGGATATTTGAGTGCTGTCTACATACCTTCACCTCTTGTTTCTGTTTGTTTTCCTGTCTTAGCCTCCTTACTTGGCCAGAGAAGGGTG